GGAAGGTAGCCCTCTCCTACCCAGCACCAATACAGCAACACCTTAATAACTTACATGATTTGCTAATCAGAAGACTTTCTGTCCAACTCTTCTCTAGGATTTTGAACAAAATAACTATGACCAAAATTGAAACTTCTTCAGTATTTTTTTTAATAGCTCTAATCTACACAGGCAATTGTCAGATTCAGGTATAACGTCTAATAGCCTCTAATTGTCATTGAACATCTGGTACGACATGGTAAAATACATTTATCAACTTAACTAGTTAAGAAAACAGCTCTGTGTTGTATCTCACTGATTAGCAGGTACAAAGCATGAAGCTTTCCACAGCCACTCATCTGGTAACTGTACGTATCCAATCCTTTCCTCTTTGTAATTCTCCTCCCTCCCCACTGTCAACAGCAATCCTGAGAGAAACAAGCCAAAACCCCTACATCTATTTCCTCCTACGCCCACACAGTACATACCCAAAATAGAATTCTTTTCTCCACCTCAAAAAATCCGAGATGACCTCTGTAAACAAACCCGTAAAGAGAAGAGGACAATAAATCTGTAGTGAAGGTAGCCGTCAAGCAGCAGAAGAAGGTTTGCCAGGCCAGTCTGATGTCCCAGGAGGAAGATACTTCCTCCAGCGTGAACAGGAGCCCACCGACAGGGGCGCGGAGTACCGAAGCTATCCCTGCCCCAGCACCAGCTGTAACGAAACTCCTCCTGCAAAAGGTAGGAGAGCCAAAATTCACATAACAGTAAAAGGCAGGGGAAAAAATAAAAAGCTCCAGGAACACTTTTTCCAGTTAAAGCTGGATTTATGGAGCTGAATTTAAAGATCTGATGGCTTATTTCTGCGATACTATAGCGCCTTTTATCTCTAGGATCTGAATTCAGATCTGAGCTCCGATTTGGTTCTCATTGCTCAAGTACTCAGGGCTATCTGGTAGCTTAGAAATATGTTGATTTCAATATACTGCCACGTTCACAAAGGCCCAGGCTCTAAACCAGGCTGCCAGAGCAGAGAACAAATGAATGCAAGCATGACAGTGAGTGAAGCATCCATATTGCAGTCAAACTATTAAACAATCCTATGCGGAACCCTTAAGGGAGTCAGTCAACAAGAATCAGGAAATAACACTTCATTCACCAATTTCTTTTTTGCCGTAACAGCTTTCCTCCTTTTTGACCTTGGCAGAATCCTCAATCCCAGAATATTGCACGAGGAACACAGTGCCATGCCAGAGAGCTGTTGAATCAGCTCTGAACAGCGTAACGTCATGCAGACGTATCATTTCCTATCCTGGCAGCAGTACAGCTACAAAGGTGAATTATTATAGGAAAAAAAGTAAGAAGATTTGGAATTCATTAGAAAATGAGAATATAGTCTGGAAGCCTCTAGTCTCAATGCTGTTTCTTAGTCTGTAAATATCTGTAAAATCCACTGGGCACATCTACACCTCGTCTCCCTCCCTTTACAGGTGTTCAGCTCATATATACCCTAAAAAGCAGCAAACTTCTGTTGCTGTAAGTTGCACTGTGAGCTCTGCAGAGATCAGCACTGTGACCAAGTGATCCAGATTCTGCTGATGAACTCTGTGGGAAGCAATAGGGTAACACACAAAAAACCTCCTACCTTTCATAAAACTAACTGAAAATAGCAGTTCCAGGAAAAAGGGGGGGAAAAAAGGAGGCAAAATGGGGGTGAAGGGGGGAAAATACAGGTAACAAAAAAGAATGATAGTGTTGTAGAGAGAGACAGTAACAGTCAGTCTTCTTTTATACATGTGTTATTATTTATTTTCCCACACACAACATCATTTTCTCTCATCTCATCCAATGACATGAAAATAACATCCTGCATCTGACAAATGCTGCATTTTTAAAGAAAGCTGCTGTGTGCAGGGAGAGGAGGAGGTGGAGAGGATGCCAAAAAAGGAAAACAACATTATGATTGAATTCTGCCTTGTAAAATTTTCCAATTCCAGCCTTTGCCAGGGGGTCTTAGGTGATGCTGATTCATATAATGCACTAACCACAAGTGCTCAGCAGCTCGTAAAATTTGCATCTTCTGGATGTTCAACTTGAGACCCTCAGAGATGATTTGCGGAAATTCTGAGCGTTCAGAAATAGCGGAAATCAACAAACATACAAAAATATTGGCGTTTTTTAATACTCAAAACACTCAAAATTCTCATCCAAAAAAAAAAAACCCACAACAAACCAGAGTCCTCTCCAAGCATGCACCCTATATTAGCGAGACCTTTTGACTTTAATCTTCTGTGGTACCTAGATCAGAGAGTTCATCAAAGCCCACAAAAAGCTACTCCCCTGCACGGACTGTGGAGGAGCCTTGCAGTAAGCTACAATGACAACTCTAAGTCTGATATTTCCCAGCTCGTAAACGTTGAGCTAGACGCTTTTTTTGCACGTGTTTTTACTTATATGGACGTATCTGCACACTGAAATTGTTTTCAGCAGTGGGTAGCTCAAAAGGAACTGCACATCAGAGGAAAAGCTAGAGGAGCCTTGCTTGGACAGCTCTAACTTCTTGTTCCAGTCATTTATATGTGCAACATGGCATAGCCATAGTATCAATGTTGAAGTTGGACCTCTCATACAGATCAGTTGCAGCTGTCTAACGGCAGCAGAGCTGTAAGATCTTTCAACATCCAAATGCTTACTCAAAAACATTAGGAGATGCTCAAATGCAGAATTACTGCTCTGCCTGAAGCAGTAGCTAGAGAGGGTACCCAACCTTCCTATAACTCCAAAAGATACTGGGGGACCAGGAGTCTTCCATCCTGACCTTTGTAAAAGGTGAGCAAAACAAAAAAAAAAAAAGTTGGCAGAAGAAGCAGCCAGGTCTTGCTTAGGGGGAAACTTCTCTCTGTTGCTCAGAAACAATCCTCTTTGTAAAGGGGACTTCTAGACAACCTGTCTCTCATAAACCGTTCTTGCCTGCAAGTTAAGTTTTTTCAACCACTATTATACTATGTTCTATCACTATTATACTACCACTGTATGCTGCAGAGAAAAACAAAAGCTCTAACCGTTCCTTTTGCTGCAATCACTAATTTCCTCCATGAGCAACATCTTGCTTAACATCTCAGATTTATTTAAATGAATGCTCATGAACGCTAAAGGCAAAAGAGATTCCCTTTGGTGCTTTTTGATTTTCTTTTAAGCCACAGATAGTTCACAGTAGCTGCTCGTTTGAAATTTTTTTTGTCACTTTGGAGGGGGGAATTAACTCATGGGAGTCAGATTTTTCTTTTTCCTTGCTTTAAGAGGAAAAAAAAGATGTATCGTATGTGCATGTACGTGTTTTATACGACAACATGACAATAAATAGCATGCACAAGGCAGAAATTGGTTTGCAAATCCTTTCGCTAGAAACTAATCTTACTAATGTCAGTAGAACTGCTCACAAAAGTGAGCTTACCAGAATTATTTCACGGACAAGTATGAGCAGAGAAGAGTCAGACTCAAAGAATGACCTAAGCAATTTATTTTTTAAAAGTAGGAAAAGGAATCAAGGGCCCCCATGCCTATTGTTGGAATGCCCATCACTCCTCCTTTCCTGAGTTTAAAGGTTGGAAAAATACACTGGTACCTAAAGGACAATTTACGGATAAAGCCCCTATCTAGAAATCGTGCATTTTTCTCCCTCTTTATACAACGCAGGAGCCAATGGGAAAACGCCTTCGGTATTAAATGCATTTTTTCCACAAGCATTCCATACAACACTTTGTGAAAGATTCTTTTAATTAATCAGGGTTATTTTCCATTCCAAAGTGACCAACAGCAGAAAGGCTGAAAGATTACTGGACCACCATTGAGATTACCATTTCCACTCAAGACCCTATGAGCTTATTGACTGCTTGCCAGATACCCTGGGTACATGTGCAGGTGAGCAGAGGGCACCATCCCGCAGAAGGCTCGGCAATTAGTGCTCTGCCAATTACTTACTTATCCGCTGAATTCCGAAACCGGGTGAAGAATGGGAGGTGGATGCCAAGGGTGTCCGACTGCAGCTGGCTCAGGCCACAACCCATGATAGCACTAGGAATAATATTGTATAATTGAGAGTATTCTTTGGTAAATTATTCATAAAGCAGCCACAGTTAAAGACGAGACGACAGAGCCTTAGGTGGCACAGAGCGGCAAAGCTAGACTGACTATAACAGCTCTAAACAAGTACAATGCTGAACACATCTTTCGAATATGCAAAGCTCCGTTGACATAAAGCAGGAGGCTACTAGAGACTTTCAGGTTGTTTAAATGGCTCTTTTGCAAGGAGTGTTGTGATGATAGACCATGAAATGCCTTTTGCTGAATTGCATCTTAATGTCTGCCTAAGCGTGGTGACTTGTCAGACTACAGTCCATCATTCAACCATCTTTCCCCAGGTTAATGACTGCAAAGAACAGAACAGCTCTACCTCTGACAGAAGATGTGTAGTGATTTCACCTACTACAGTGTGTTCAAGGCAGCAACTACCTTTAAATAGGAAAAAGAAAAAAGAAAAAAAAAATTTGTGAAATGAAAAATCTATTCGTTGTATAATCTAGGAAGACTTTTCTACAAGACTTAAAATAGGGGTCCTAACAAATCTCAGAGGCTTTTAGCAATTTCAGTATGTTTATTTTTAATAAAATTGAGGGAGGGTTCCAACTAAATTAAATTAAACTAATCCTTAATTCCTATGTTTTAAAAAAGCATCACGCTAATACTGTGCTGACTTTCTGCATGGAGATATGATTCAATTCTTTGACTCATGCATCACTGTTACCAACCCAGCACAAAGGGAAAACATCACAGCTGAAGTCTTTGAGCTCCTGGAGACAAACATCCAAAAGCAAAGAAAACAAAAGAAACATAAAGGGAGAGCTAAACCTTGGTAATCCTTGTCCGAAAGGTCTGTGCCTGCCTCTGACTAACCATGTTCTCCTATTTTTGAAAATCTGAGTCATCCTTTAGGGTGCTACACCTCCATACAAATAAAAAAAAAACAGTGACAGAAATGAGAAAGGGTCATGGGGAGGAGAGGTTTGATCAAGGCAGTGAAGAGGAAGAGAACAAACTTCAAGGGTGAATACTTTCCAAAAACAGAGAGGATCAGAAATAAAATAGGAAACCGGCCAACAAGTGAGATGTGTCATATTAGCAGAGGGAGACTAATTTTACCATCTCTACTCAAGATACAGTTTAACAATGGTAATAACGTGCAGCAGGCTTCATTTCTAAATGATAAATAAAAGGAAATGATATCATTTACAAAAGCAGAAAAGTCCAAAATCTGGCCTGCGATCTTCACTAAGTTTGGCTTTATTACAATGTAGTAATTTTTAAGCACCTGGTTTGACCTACAGAACAGGAGGACTGGGCAACCCTCCTCTCTTTCCCCCAAGGCCTTGGCCCATAATAGGACAACCGGTATTCTGTTCGTCTGTATTTAATAAGTGGGAATAAAAAAGTGGGAAGTGGCAAAAAAATATCCTTTAAAAAGACCGTGCAGTGCTACTTTTCCCACACCTAGAAACATAATATTACACCACAGTGCGAACCACAGGCAGTTGCAACCTGACTTGTGACCTGCCATCCTGCAGAGCTTGAGAAGCAGCACAGGGTTTCTGCACTGGCAGTTTGCCAGCGCTGCTGGCTGCCTTCTTTGTAATCCAGAAACAAAGGTGCCGGGGGCCTGGCTGCCCACTGCCCTGCACCTTGCACAGCCATTTACAGCAGGGGCTTGTGCCAGGGGCTGTAAAAACGCTGCCCCTTGGGTGCGCGTCCAGTTGAGACTGCCTCTGCTTTTCTACCCACTCGGCACAGCTATAAGCCATTATATGAGATGCAAAGCAGCCAGCAGGCAGTATCTCCAGGATGGGTTGCATTCGGAGATGATCCTGACTGCGGATACGCCCGCCCTGGGTGCTCACTCTCTCCCTCTTGCTCATTGCACCATGAGCTGCCTTATCAGCAGTCCAGGTAACTGTTTGCTGAGCCTCACTGTCAATCGCATTAAGGAACTGAGCCAATATTTAAAACATGCAGTGACAAAATGTTTTTCTTCACAGCACAAATAGCTGGCCTAATGCAAAGGAAGGGAAAGCACAGGGGAGAAAAAGCTACGAATGCAGGATGTTTTCTAAGCCAGAGCTGCCACCAAGAAAGACTCGCAAAACCATACCCTCAGTTTTAACTTTTGGCTGATGTTTCTTACCCCAAGTGGATCATGGGGCCTTCTGGCCCACAGAAGAGCCCAGAGGCTACAGCCAGCACACAAGAGACAAATGTTCCTAAAAAGGTCTTGATATTAAAAAGATGTTGCATAGAAGTACCATTCAAATATCCAATGATTTCTGGCAACCCAGACGGTGAACCTGCTGGGCAAAAGAACTGCAAAGAGAAAAAAAGAATAAGAGTCAATAATCATTTCCAGTTGGATGTCTTCAGGGCCACAGTTCTTAAGTCTTGCTCTCAAATCACTCTATTCATAGACTCCCCCAGAATTTACAGCACTGTATTTTCACACACTGAACTTAAGGCTACATGCAAAAACTCAAGTCACTAACAGCGTGGCTACACACGCGCTTGGAGTAATGAGAGAAGAAAATCAGCGCCAAGGGCCCACAGCCCAGGCTCTTGCAATCCGTTGTCTGAACCCAGCAACTCTCTTGTCTTGGTGCAGATTATCTGGGGGTCCGGGTGTGCGTGTGAACTTGCATTATTTGTTCAGTCAGTTCACACTTCAGATAGCTCAAAACTGGTCAATTATTATCCGTATAACAGCAAACAGAGTCCCTGTTCTTACTGTTGTTGGATTTGGGGGGAAATTTAGTAAAATATTCCTTTTTTTTTTTTCCCCTCTCGCCTTTACTGTCAATTGTCTTTTTATAATTATATTGAACACAGTAGGATAGTAAATGACAGAAAGGCTCCAAGTTTTAATCTTGCAGCCTAGTAAAAAGTGCTGTTCTGGATTGTAAGTGCCACATAGCACAGCTAAAAGATCAATCTAAAGAAAAACAGTAGTTTTTATATGGATTGATGGTCTTTGGCTTAGGCCCCCAAACACCAAGTTTTCACAAGTTACACCAGTTTCCCGCTTATATTTGTTTTATAAACACCACATGCTAAGTGCAACTTGCATAGCCACCACCGCTGAATTTACCCCAGACACTTTTATACAAGTTATGTGCGGTAGAATTTAGCTTTCAGGCCGAAGGCCAAAAAAAAGCCTCTCCAATTGGGCTGTAAAATAGATTTTTTTTTTTTTTTTAAACACTAAATTAAACAGTATTTGGAAGAACAGTAGATTTGGTTTATCATAGCGTTATAGGTTTGTTGAGTAGGAGACTTGACACTCACCAGTACTGAGCTTGAAGACACAAGAATCATGGCCAGCCCAGACCCAAGTACGCATAGCCAGGCGATGTGGAAGTTGCCATCCTGTCCAATTTACAAATAGATTATTACATCAGCAGTGGTATAACAGGTATACGGCCTGCTCTTTAACAGTCTGTTAACAGCATATAATGGTACTGAACATGAAGAGGTATTCAGCCTATTTTTTTTGTCCTACAGATTTCTGTAGGCTAGAATGTGTACATA